TCTTTCCATCATCATCCACTGTTCTCAGAACTGCAAAGTGAAATTTATCTCACAATCTCTGAGATAATACGAGACAGTTCATTACATCAATAACAATATTATTTTTTTCTGAATTTTGTGAGAAGACAGGAGCATTGCGGTTTACTCAGAATGAAATAATCTAACCCTTAACATTAACATAGTTTTACCTATGCTTACCAGATGCATGATTCTCTCTCTAGCACCCATTGCATGAGACCATATCTACAGTTCTAAGGAGTGTTAATGACTTTTACACAGTAGTCGATATATTTGATGATTAAATGAATGAATTTAGTTTTAGTGGTAATGGAGACCACTGTGAAAGTAAGAAGAATTTTTTGTAATCTATAAAAGGATTTCTGCTGCTTTGGCTTTTGAACTGGGTGACTGTTTCTTGAAACATATATTTTTTCCCCCTTAGATTCTTGTAAGTATTGATCTATGCTGTCCAGACTTTGTTCTGCATTTAGAAACCGAATGTGCTAGTTATTTGCATTCTTTGCAAAGAAATATATTCTTTATAGTTTTTTTGAGAACATTTTCTTTTTCCTTATAGTTTAAGGAGTTACTGGTTAATGTCTTGCTATTCTTGGAGCCTTTCTTGGTTCTTGTGGGAAATTTTGAGCCTTTCAATCTTCTTTCAGTTCTTTTGTTTAATTTCTTATCTGGGCTTACTCTTTTTTTTTTTTTTTTGATCAACTTATTTTTTCTGGCTTTATTGAAATATAATAGACAATTAGTTGCTTGTATTTACATTGTACAATTCAGTGAGTTTTTTTTCCAATTATAGTTGGCATACAATAATATACTAGTTTCAGTTGTATAGCATAGTGATTAGGAGATCCACATAACTTGCAAAACGATCACCCCATTAAATATAGTACCCTTCTTCCCCCTTACATATTTATTACATTATTAACCATTTTCCCCATGCTACGCTCTACATCTCCATGTCTATTCTGCAATTATCCATTTGTACCTGTTAATCCCTTTGCCTTTAGCCCTCAAAATATTTATGAGTTTATTTCTGCTTTTGTTGTCGTTGTTGTTTATTTTGTTCTTTAGATTCCACATGTAGTATTTGTCTTTATCTGACCCATTTCATTCAGCGCAATACCCTCGTGGTCTATAAAGGTGATTGATATCTTTTTCCATCTTCTTCCTTTTTAGTCTGTGTGTGCCTTTTAATCTAAAGTGAGTCTCTTGTAGGCAGCATATGTAGGAGTCTTGTTTTCTTATCCATTCAGCCACTCTATCTTTTCATTGGAGCACTTACTTCTTTTCCATTTGAGGTACTTGTTGATAGGAATGTAGTTATTACCATTCTTTATTCCTGTTTTTGATACATGTTTTTTCTTCTTAACCAAGTCCCTCCAACATTTCCTGTAATGCTCGCTTGGTGTTGATAAATTCTCTTAGCTTAATTTTGTCTGGGAAGCTCTTTATCTGTCCTTCAACTCTAAATGATAGCCTTGCTGGATAAAGTATTCTTGATTGTAGATCCTGGGTTTTCATCACTTTAGATATTTTGTGCCAAACTCTTCTGTCCTGCATAGTTTCTTTTGAGAAATCAGCTGCCAGTCTAATGGGTGTTCCCTTGTAGGTAAACTAACTGCTTTTCTCTTGCTACTTTTAAGATTCTCTCTTTGCATTTAACCTTTGGCATTTTCATGATATGTTCCTTGATGTGGGCTTCTTCGGGTTCCTCTTTTTTGGGACTCTAGCTTCCTGGGGTTGTATATCTATTTCCTTCACCAAGTGAGGGAAGTTTTCCATCATTATTTATTCAAATAGCTCTTCAACGTTTTGTTTTTTTCTGGTACCCCTATGACATTGATATTTTTATATTTAATGGTGTTTCATAGGCTCCTTAAATTATTATTATAGTCTTGGCTTCTTTTTTCTGGCCATTCTGATTGAGTGCCTTTGGTTTCCCCAACCTCTATATTGGTGGTTCTTTTCTTTATCCACTCTGTTTATTCCCTCTAATACACTTATCATCTCAGATAATGTATTCTTTATTTCTGACTGATTCCCTTTTATCATTTTCGTTTCCATTTTTATGTTTTTTATCTCTTTGTCAAAGTTCTCACTGAATTCATCTACACTTTCCCTGTTAATTGAGCATCTTTATAACCAGTGTTTTGAACTCTGTATCTGTTAGATTGCTTGATTCCATTATTCCTGGATTTCTGTTCTGTTTTCTTATATGGTTTCTGCTTCTTTTGGCTGCCTTTCTGTGTCTGTTTCTATGTACTAAGCAAAGTTCTTAAGTTTCCTGGTCTTATTAGTGCGACTTTGTGAAATAGGTGTCCAGTGGCATAGTCCTGAGAGGAGTTCAGCTGCAGGCCAGATTTAGCTCCATCCTGTGCCCCTCTGGGGCCACCTGTTTTAAGATTTAACAAGCAATCCACAGATGCTGTGCTTATAGTTGCCTCAAGAGGCCTTGCCGGAAACCGCGGTCAGCTGCCACCAGTGTCAGTCTAGGTGCTGCTTAGCAAGGGGAAACTGACATTTGGATGTGGCTTAGGTGAGGCTGTGAGTTGGGGGCAACGGAGTTTCAGGGAATCCT